GAGTTGCCATTTGCTTGATATATCTTTCCAACCTTTGATTTTTAGTCTGTTTTTGTCTTTATCTCTAAGGTGTGTCTCTTGTAGGCAGCATATTGATGGGTTGTGTTTTCTTATCCTATCTGCAACTCTCTGTCCCTTGACTGGTGCATTTAATGCATTAACATTCAGGTTAATTATTGACAAGTTTGAATTTGTTGCTGTCATTTTGTTTTGTGGTTTTTCATGGTGTCCCTGGTTTCTTTGTTCCATATTATTTTCTGTGCTGAGCTCATTATGTTTATGAATCGTGTTATCATTTCCTTTGTTGCTGTTGTTGTAGTATATGCTGAATATTTTTGCTTGTCCTCTTTTTTATTGTGATATGAAGGTTTATCATTTTTCTTTAAGGTTACCCTATGATTTATAATTTTCTGCCTGAGTTTAGAATAGTCCATTGTATCTTGCAACTCTCTTAACTTCCTCACCATTTAGAAGTTCTGTAACTACACAGTCTTTTCCCTCTTTTTGTTTTAGTTGGCCTCACTTGCCAATTGATGTCTCTGGTTCCCTGTTTACAATCTTGTAAGCTCATTTTACTTCGGATATATGTCCATAGCTGTGGTTTCTGGGATATGCCATCTTGTGTATTAATGGTCGGTTGTTATTTGTATTTTTGGTTCTCTGTTCAAAGGACTCCCTTTAGCATGTCTTGTACGGTTGGTCTTGTTTTAACAAATTCCCTTAGTTTCTGTTTATCTGGAAATCTCCTAATTTCACCATCATATTTGAGGGACAATTTTGGCAGGTATATAATTCTTGGTTGAAATATTTTCTTTCAGGGTTTTATATATACCATCCCATTGTCTTCTTGCCTGCATGGTGTCTGCTGAAAAATCAGAGCTTAGTCTTATTGGTTGCTCTTCCTTTGTAGGTAACTTTTCGTTTTTCCCGTGTTGCTTTCACGATTCTGTCTTTGTCTTTGGTTTTGATGAGTTTGATGATGATGTGTCTTGGTGATTTTCTTTTGGGGTCTGTCCTGTTTGGGGTTCGTTGGACTTCTTGAATGGATATATTCTCCTCTTTCATCATACCTGGGAAATTCTCTTCCAACACATCTTGAACAATTTTCTCTGTGGTTTTGTTTTTCTCTTCCTGTTCTGGAATTCTAATGACACGTAGGTTATTCCTTTTGATGGTATCCCACATGAACCTTAGGCTTTCTTCATTCTGTTTTGATCTTTTTTTATGATTTATCCCTTTCCAAAGCAGTATTCAGGTATTTGTCTTCAATCTCACTAATTCCGTCTTCCATTGATTCAATTCTACTCCTTATCCCATTCACTGTGTTACCTATTTCTTAAAATTTAGCATTAATTTTCTGGATATCTATCTATAGATTTTGTATCATTTTTCAGTTTTCATTTATTTTGTCATTTTGTTCTTGTATTGTCTTCTGAAATTGTTCTAGGGTTTTCTCTGTGTTTTCCTCCATTTTGTCAGTGTTTTCCTTGATCTGTGTCTCAGTCCACTTAAGATACCTAACTACAATTCTCCTGAATTCCTTATCGGGGAGTTCCAATGTTAGTTCTTCCTCAGATGTATTCTGGGTCTGTATCCTGCTCTCTTATTTCTACTGCTTTATCTTGCTTCTCTGTGTGGACTATGGTGGTTTTTTGTCTCTGAGACATTGTGGGGTTTTGTGATTATATTTAATTAGTGATTGCATGTTGGAGTGATTCACCCAAGATTTTCTTTTTCTGTTTTTTTTTTCTGGATGTTATCTGAGTAAGCAGGGTACTGTGCTCCTCTATTCACTAGTTGGCAGCACCTGTCTCCTTTCCAGTTGTCAGGCTCCTGTATGTCTCTACTGTCCTTGGAAAGTGAAACTTGTTTTTAGGTCCCTGGAATGTGAATGAGAATGCTGTTGCTTTAAATATCTAAAATGGCCACAGCTTATAAACATTCAAAATGGCTGCACTCTCCAGACAGCCGATGTCCACAGCTCATTGTGTTTCCTTCTTTGCTGCTTCCCTTTTTTAGTCACCAGCAATTGTCCATGCAGCCTTTGGCGAGAGCAGTGCAAATTTTTTGGTTAATTCTCAGATCCTAACACCACTTGGAATTATTCAGTCTCACTATCCCTGCTATCCCTGAGCCCATCATTGCAGCCACTGTGTCAGTCCATCTTTTTGAGGACCTTCTCCTTTTATGTTGACCCTCTGCTTTATTCAACATGATATCCTTCTCCAGGGAATGGTCTCTTCTGACAACATAACCAAAGTAGGTGAGACCAAGTCTGGGTATTCTCTCTTCCAAGGAGCATTCTGGCTGCACTTCTTCCAGGACAGATTTCTTATTACTTTTAGCAGTCTGTGGTACTTTCAGTTCTTCACCAACACCACAACTCGAAAGCATCAACTTTTCTTCGGTCTTCCTTATTCATTGTCCGGCTCTCACATGCATGTGAAGTGATTGAAAATATCATGGCTTGGGTGAGGTGCACCTTAGCCTTGATGGAGACATCTTTGCTCTTCAGCACTTGAAATGGGTCTTTTGCAGCAAATTTGCCCAAAGCTGTATGTCTTCTGATTTTGAGTGCTGCTTCCATTGGTGTTGATTGTAGAACCAAGTAATGTGAAGTCTTTGACAACTTCAGTGTTTTCTCCATTTATTGTGATGCTGTTTATTGGAGGAGTTTTGTTTTCTTTTTATGAGATGTTATCCATACTGCAGACTGTAATCTTCAGTTTTCATCAGTAAGTGCTTCATGTCATCCTCACTTTTTGCAAGCCAAGCTGTGTCGTCTATGTATCGCAGGTTTGTTACTGAGCCTTCCTCCAACCCTCATGCCCCGTTCATCTTCATATAGTCCAGCTTCTCAGATTATTTCCTCAGCATACAGACTGAATAAGTATGGTGAAAGGATACAGCCTTGATGTACTTCCTTCCTGAATCAACAACATAAACGGTGACTATAGATTTGGGCCATGCCAGGTGGGTTACACAGGAATCTGTGAAAGAGTCAATGTAGAAATTCAATATCATCAGTCAAAACAAGGCCGGGAGCTGACTGTGGAACAGAGTATCAGTTGCTTATATGCACGTTCAAGTTGAAGTTGAAGAAAATTAAAACAAGTCTACAAGAGCCAAAATACAACACACCTTATTTGCATGGTCCCACCAAGTCCTGGAGGAAGTGCAGCCAGAATGCTCCTTGGAAGCAAGAATGGCCAGACTTGGTCTCACCTATTTTGGTCATGTTGTAAGAAGGGACCATTCCCTGGAGAAGGATGTCATGCTTGGTAGGGTGGAGGGTCGACGAAAGAGGGGGAGGCCTTCAACGAGATGGATTGATACAGTGGCTGCGATGATGGGCTCGAGTATAGCAGGGATTGTGGGGCTGGTGCGGGATCGGGCAGTGTTTCGTTCTGCTGTGCATGGGGTCGCTATGAGTCGGAAACGACTCGACGGCACTTAACAACAACAACAACAAACCAAGTAATTCAGTGCACCGCAGTTAATAATTGTATTGATTTGTGAAATGTTACCACAGTTACTCAGTCTTATTCATAACACTGATGAGTTGTGCTTGGAAAGGTAAAGGCAAGAGAGTTGATTTTTGCATATCATAGGTAATGGATGTCATCCAGAAAGGGATTTTTCTTGAGCTACCCATGTTCTCCATAAATTGTCCAGGAGTCAAATGAGCATAGGGAAAGTAGGTCAGTGTATTTCTACTTTGAAAAGAAATCACTTGAACTTCCTTATTCTCCTGAGTGACTTTGGGGGAGAATCATTCATTTAAAATCTACATAACCCTAACTAAAATTTGATAGTAATGTAAACTTAGGAGCTCTGGTAGCGTAGTGCCTAAGGCATTTGACTGCTGACCAGAAGGCTGGCATTTCAAACCCACCAGCCACTCCAAGGAGGGATCACTGTGAGTCGGATCCGACTCAACAGCAGTGAGTTTGGTTTTTTGGTTTTGTTAATGTAAACTTAAATTTGACTGAGTACAACAAATATACAGGGTTGAGGTAAACAGGTAAACCTCATTATTTATATTAAAAATTATTTATATTGATAAAAATATTGGTAAATTCTTTGAACTTTTAATATATTATCTGGCTTATAATTTTTTATTTTGGAGTTGTGTTACAGTTTGTCTTCTTGCTTAATTGACTTTTCTTGTTTGATAACATTTTGAATGGTTTTAAGATTAACATTTAAAATTTGATTGTTTTTATAAGTAGCACTTATTTATATAATCGTCTACTTTTATGCAAGATGATAGCATAGATTTTGAGGGGAATTTGGGAAGATTTATCTTACGGCCTCAATCTGATTAGTATGGGCATATTGGAGAGGAAAAATAGTAGTGGCATATTCGATGCAGAATATAAAATTTTGCACTTTAGCATATGCTTATATAATGTGATGCAATTACATCAGAACCTGTTCACATAAGGTTATCACATGAAATGTATTTTCTAAATTCCTGTCTTAGGTTAGAAGTAATAAGAATGTATCTGAAGTGGGTTTGTTTTATTTTATGGGTTTTTTTTGTTTGTGTGTGTGTGTATTTTAAACAGCACTTCTAGGGGTTAAGCAGGAAGTTTGTTATCTTAGTCTGGTCTTTCTAAGAGAAACTTGCAGGGCTTTAACTCAATAATCTGTTACCACTTTTCTGTAGGGCCTAACACCCTTATTCTTTGTGTGTGTGTGTGTGTGTTCTTTTATCCTCTTAGCTGCCTTATATTTTTATATGCCTTTTTCTTTACTCTTTTGTTAATTTCTCTTCATGCTAAACCATTGCTTACGGTCTTTTACTAGAGAATTACGTATTAACATGGCAGGCTATCTGTGTCAATCTGTTCTTAAAATTTTTTTTTCCTTCAAGTCCACTAAAACTCTGTGTCTACGACTGTACATTTAATATTAATTTATTATCTACTTATAAACTTTGCCAGAAACATGGATTTCTTTAGTTGGATAAAAGGATTGCTGGTCTTATTTTCTAGGCCAGGGATCCTCAGCAGGAGCCTTTGGAAGAGATAGAAAATTTGAAGAAACAACATGATTTATTAAAACGGATGTTACAGCAGCAGGAACAGTTGAGAGCTCTACAGGGACGACAAGCTGCTCTCCTGGCTCTGCAGCATAAAGCAGAGCAGGCTATTGCTGTGATGGATGATTCTGGTATGCCACCATGTTAGAATATTGTTTTTATGAGCAAGGCTTAATAAGTATGGTATTGCACAATAGATGCTAATTATTAGATAATTAGGTCTTGACTATTGACTAGTTTAGAAACCCTACATGTAAGGTTTACCTTATCCTGTGGTTTTCTCTGGTTATGCAGAAAAGGCTGCAGGGACAACTTCTGGCCACCAGACTGTACCAAGCAGACAGCAAGCTCGCTCTCCTTTTCAGCAGAGAGTGCCTTTAAGAGGTAAAAGGGACAGGCTATAGTTGGTTTCTTTTTTGTGGTTGTTTTCGTACTCCACACTGATAGGATTCTTGATGCTTTTATTCTCATCTTTTATACTAAATTCAACTAAGATTGTCGCCTCTCAAGAAAGGGTTAAAGTTAAATCTGTTAAGTGAGGCAGTGCATAAATTTATAGACTGTCTTTGTCTTTAGCGTCCGTGATTTCAGTTACATTTCCAGTTGCATATGGTAGCTCCTTGGAGCTGTATTTATCTTATACTGTTGTCCTGAGAAGGAGCTTTGGTGGTGTAGTGGTTAAAGCATTTGCCTACTAATTAAAAAGCTGGCAGTTTGAACCCACCAGCTACTCCATGGGAAAAACAATGACACAGTCTGCTTCCATAAAGATTTACAGCCTTGGCCACACCATGGGGCAGTCTGCTGTGTTCTGTGGTATTGCTATGAGTTAGAATCGACTTGATGGCAGTGAGTTTGGTTTTTTTGGTTGTACTGAGAGTCAGAAACATTCTTTTCTTTCGTCCTCCTTCCCTCATAGCCATATGTCATTTAGGTAAAAATTATTTTGAATTCTGTAGAATTGAGTTTAATTTCATAGTTTATCTTATTACCTTCAAATCTAAGTGTTTACTTTCTCATTAAGTTGAAAACATGATTGTTACTTATTAAAACTCAATAAAACAGGTTTTAAACTACTAGTCTATCCCCACCATCCCAATCTAATTACAGGTTTTTTCCTTCCAAACCAAAAAACCAAACCCACTGCCATCGAATTGGATGCAACTCATAGCGACCTTTCCTTGGGTTTCCAAAGCAGTATCTCTATAGAAGTAGGTTGCCCAGTCTTTCTTCCCAGAAGTGGCTGTTAGGTTTGAAACAGCAGCCTTCTGGTTAGCAGTCAAATGCCTTAGGCACTGCACCGCAGAGCTACCAGTTTTCTCCTTAGGGCACTCCATTTTTACTTCTGTATTTGTTATTGTTATGTGCCCTTGAGTCAGACCTGACTCATAGCGAGCCCTCCTTGGGTTTCTGAGGCAGTATCACTACGAAAGTAGATTGCCCCATCTTCCTTCCGAGGAGTGGCTGGTGAGTTTGAACCGCCAGCCTTCTGGTTAGCAGTCAGGTGCCTTAGGCACTATGCTACCAGAACTCCTACCCCTGTATTTAGGCCCTCACAAAGGTTATCCTGTTATTACTCATTTTATCCTGCTGCCCACACCTGGTTTACTGGCCCAGATCACTGTTACCTAATTTATGCTTATATTTTTGTAAGGAATTTTATGACTTTAAAGTATAACTTAGTCTTTTGTAATAATTATATAGTCATATATAGTAATAGAGTATAGTAAGTAGTAGTAATTACACATATATTGATCCCCATATTTCCCTTGGAAAGTCTTAAGTATCATTAGCTTTTACATTTATGTTTAGGAAATAGATAACTTAGGCAACAGATAATTGTTACATTTAATATAATGAGTGCTGTTAGTTTGATTAATGATTAACCTTTTGAATATTTTTCAAGTTTGAAGTATCAGATTAGAAAGTCTTTTCTTTGATAGATATATTAATCTCAGCTATTCACTTTACATCATCTCATTTGATCATACAGAATTTCAGGTTAGTAGCCAGAGGTTTGATTTTTCTTACTTTATAGAGAAGGAGCTCCTAACATGGAGTTTGGGATTTAATGTAGTAGAATATATTCTAAGTAGGGAGTCATCTTTCTATTTCTGATAGCAACATTTTTTTTTTTAAAGCATGTAATCTCTTTTAAAAAAAAAGCTTGATATGAAGCAGGGAACAAGAGAAGAATGTGTAGTTTAAATTTGTTTTATATACTATTTTAAAACTTTAAAAATAATAGTGTAGGAATAGTAAAACAAATATTCCCTGTGTTCATGAGATTTTGCAGCAAAATACAGACAGTCTCAGAGTTAGGAACATTTGACTTACGATAATTCCTACCTGCCCCTTAATGTTATGTGAATTTACCCTCACTTTGAAATTTACCCCTCCTCTTGATAAATTCTCCATCACAATCACCTTACTTGCTTCATGTGTAACCTCTAAATCATTGAAGAGACCTTGAGCCTTTTCTTGCACTAATATGTAAGACCACCTATGACGACTTGACGTATAAATTATTAAAGATGCACTTAGGAACAGATCTCAGTCATACCCCAGGGATTGCCTGTAATGATAAAAAATCAGAATCATATCATCTGATATGTAAGAGAGACAACATACTTGTCGTGGGAAAGGGTGTTCCTTTTATCATTTAACTATCAAGTTGTATGTTAGTTATCTGTACTGTAATTTCTCTCTTTGCAAAACAGAGCTTGGTTAGGTAAGTCGAATTTCATCCAGCCCTGAAATCCTAAATCTAGTTTCTTGGTGGGAAAAGCTGGTATTTTCCTTTCTGAAAAATGTGGTGGATAGCGTTTTGACTTTCTGGAGCTAGAAAGTTGGGAGTGAGGATATCAGTTGACTGGGTAGGAGAGCAGTAACTGGTATCTAAATTTTCATCAGAAAACTGCCTTAGGAATAGGAAGCCTTCCCCCCCTCCCCCCCCACTTAAAGAAGATTAAAAACTCCTGTTTTTTTTAGTATGACTTTATCACAGGGAGCTACTGCAATCAGTTACCTGTTCTATTGCAGGATTTGGCAAACTGTGTACCACTAGGATTGAGCCCACTGCTTGTTTTTGTAAACAAAATTATATGGTCTACAGTTATGCTCATTTGTTTACTTATTGTTAATAGCTGCTTTAGCCCTATAGTGGTATTTACTATCTAACCCTATTAGAAAAATATTTGCCAGCTCCTTTTCTAGAACATTGATTCTATTGCGAGAAGTGAAACATGAAACCTGCCAGAATCAGCTGTGCTTTTGCAGGCTATCACATATCCTTCTAATGCTCCAACCTAAACAGACTGATAGATCAGGGGTGGGTTACCCAATAAGCAATGTAAGGACTGGCTTACTTGTGTTTACCTAATAATCTGTAGTAAATATTGTCATATTTTTTCACCACATCGAAGACTCTGCTTCTGCATATGGTTAGCATCTGTCTTTCTTCCAACTCATAGCACCTTCCTGCTGAAATCAAAGCCTCTTTTCAAATTTATAATCCCTAACAGGGACTGAGTACCCAGAAAGCAAGGTAAGCACAGGTTTACTTGTGCGTACTTAGTAATCTGTAGTGAATAGTTTCATATATTTACATAAACATATAAAACTGCACTGCAGATTAGTAAGTACAAGTAAACCCAGGCTCACCTGGCCTATTGAGTAATCCCCCCTCTAATCTGCATACTCATTCCACTCAGTCACTGTAATCATTTGGGTTATAATTATATCCTTTTTGATACGTTGGAAAGAAAGATTAACTGCCACACTAAGCCTATGTGAGTGCCCCTTTGAACTTCGATGAAAACATTTAATAAAAGGATTTGTTGGCAGGTAAATCTGAGAGTTTTAACTAGTTTCAAATTATGATAGGATTTTATAAACTCCCTTTCTCTTTCAAAATTTACTTTTAGCTTCTCATATGGAAAAGGTGTTCAATTTAGTTTGTTCATTTTAATGACTAGTTGTTCATTTTCTTTCTAGTAACAGAAACTGCAGGTAGTCTCTCAGGAATCAGTATAACATCTGAATTAAATGAAGAGTTAAATGATTTAATTCAGCGTTTTCATAACCAGCTTCGTGATTCTCAGGTAACTTAATTTCTTAAGTGTAATTGAGTTTAATTTCACATTAATTAGAACAGCAGTTCTCAGAGTTGTGTGTATATAAATATTACACGACATGCTTATTTTTAAAATGCAGATTGCTGCATCAGCAGGATCTACTTGCCTGATTCATAGGTTTGGGTTGGTGTCTTCCCATGTGGTTCTAGTGCTGTAGGTTTCGGGGCAATAAGTCAAGAAAAACTGTATTACAAGAAAATCTGCTTTTAATGAATTGATTAGTATAATTTCACTTTGTATGCTACTAGTTGACACCTTGTTTTTCTTTAAAAGACTGGTAATTGTTGTGGTAGTTATGTTTGTGTGTCAACTTGGCTGGGCCTGGTTGAGTGGCTGGGCAGCTGGTGGTAGTTATTCCCCATGGTGAGACTGGCAGTCATCTCCACGGTGGCATCTACCACAAGCAGCTGAGTAGCTTCCTTGGGGGTATGGTCTGCTTCCTGCGTATAAGGAGAAGCTTTGAGAATGGTCTCTAGTTTATGGCACCTTGAACCCTGCATGTAGCTGTGTCATTGTTCAGCAGCCTGCCATCCTCTGCCAACCTTGGGACTTAAAATGGACTTAAATTAATGGCTTGCCATGTGGTTTGGTAAGATTGGGACTGTGCCTTTTTACTTGTCAACCTTGGGCTTTTCCGCCTCAGCAGCCAGCAGCTGTCTGAGTGAAGAAATGCTTCTAGCTTCAGTGGGCCAGGAGCTGGAGGCAGAGCTGAAACCCAAGGCTGAGGGGCTTTCACCCAGCCCCTAGAGCCTGGCACTTTGAACTTGGACTTCTAGCCTCCTGAACTGTAAGAGAATAAAATCCTGTTGTTAAGGCCATCCATTTGTGGTATATTTCTGTCAGAGTGGCACTGGTAACCAGAACAATTGTCATAACTCTTAACTCTTAGATTTAAATCTATGTCCTTGTAATACTTTACTAATGATTTTAAGAAGGTTCTTAAGTTTAATAAAAGGGTTAATAGGTACTGTAATATGTAATATTTGCCTTTCTAAATAATAATATAAATGTAAATTTTTAATCTGTGGGCTTTAGAGAAGGAACGATAATTAATAATGCCTCTCTCCACTAGAAGAGTGAGAGTTCTGGTGGCATAGTGCCTAAGGCACTTGACTGCTAATCAGAAGGTTGGTGGTTCAAACCCACCAGCCACTCCTCAGAAGGAAGACTGGGCAATCTACTTCCGTAGCAATACTGCCTTAGAAACCCAAGGGGGGGTTGCTATGAGTTGGAGATGACTCAGCGGTACATAGCAACAACAACTCCACTGGAAATGAGTATGATTGAAGAAGATGCTTTGCCTTGTGTCTTCTTGCTGACAAAGTATAAATGAAAGAATATGGTACAACTGCTAATGTATTTCAGCAATTTAACAGTATATCAGTCTAGCTAATATATATACACAAAGATTATTTATGCACTTTTAAAATGAAAATGTGGGAGTGCACCCTTTAATAACCTTAGCTTTTAATTTTTCTTCTTGGTTTTTTTTGTTTTGTTTTAAAGCCACCAACTGTTCCAGACAATAGAAGACAGGCAGAAAGTCTTTCATTAACTAGGGAGGTTTCCCAGAGCAAGAATCCATCCATTTCAGAACATTTACCTGATGAGAAAGTCCAGCTTTTTAGCAAAATGAAAGTGCTACAGGAAAAGAAACAAAAAATGGACAAATTGCTTGGAGAGCTTCACACACTTCGAGATCAGCATCTGAACAATTCTACATGTAAGTAGAAAGGGTTTAGCAGTATTAGGTATTATAAAGAACACATAAATATGTGTATGCTAGCCTGTAATAGTTAAATAGTAACTTGGATGCGTGCACAAAATAATACTTTTATTTTTAGTATGTTTATATTTTCCCTTAAGGAAAAACCAATGTATATTAGTACATTGGGTTAAAAACGCTGAAACTATTAAACATAGATTTAAATATTGTATATGCAAAAAGGGAGAAAAAGTGAGAGATGAAAAATTTATGTACTACACATGGTTCAGTGCAGAAAGCCTATAACATAGAATCACTGGACTTACACATTTGTTAAATATTCAAATAGTCATCTTAAATAACTAAAAGAACTGTCTTTTCTGTTGTAGCCTGCTTTACCAAATTCAGACCTAATTACTAGTCTTCAGTTGATACCCTCATACCTCATACATATACTAATGGGAAAACTGGGGTAAATGGGGGAAACCCCTACTGGTTACCTTTCTTCTTTCCAGCCATTTTTTTGGTAAAGAAAAAACAAAGGATAGAAACGGCATCTCTGCAGTCCCTGCTCCTTATTCTCTACTCATCTCCTATTTCTTGTCACCTCCACATGAGCCTTACTTACTCTGCTCTGAATATATTCCTTTTTGATCTCTGACCTCTTAGTAGTCTCCTCCTTATCCAGAGTATAATCCAGTCCCAGTCCCTGTCCCTCTCAGAATAGGGTTGGCAGACAATGGTCCTATAAGTTTGTGTGTATGATCTGAATTCCTAGGTGTATAGTAGAGCTGACAAGGGGCAAAGTTGTAGTCACTGCTTGGTCACAGCCAGCTACCCAGAGGGACTGAGTAGTTGAACCTGTGGGCTTGGGACCATAGTCTCAGGGGACATCAAGCTCAATTGGCATAACATACTACACAAAACATTGTTGTACCTCCTACTTTGGCAAGTAGCAACTGAGATCTTAAAAGCTTGCAAGCTGCCATCTAGATGCAACGATGGGTCTCTCCTCGTCCACAGCAAAGAAGGATGAAGAAAACCAGAAATTCATGGAAGCAGTTAGTCCTAGCGACTGGTACACCATCTGATCTGCAGCCTGTACGACTATGAGACCAGAAGAACTAGATGGTGCCAGCTACCACTGTCAACCACTTGGAGGGGGATCTATGTAGGGGATCCTGGATAGAGAGGGAGAACAATATGGAACAAAACTCAAAATCATTTGGAGAAAAAAAAAGGGGGGGGGACCAGCTTTGCTGGTCCAATAGAGCCGGGTGGAACCACTGAGACTATAGCCCCTAGCTGCCCTTCAGATCTGGAATTGAATCCACATCTGTGGCTTCCAGCCAAACAAAAGACAGGCATATGAGTTGAATATTTACCTGAGGTAAGATACACTCCTTGGAGAGAACAATCATAGGAGAAAGAAGGGCTGCTTATGCACAGGGAGACAGCTCAGAGGGCAGGAGTACATGGAGGGATGGTCACAGGGAAGAGGTAACTATCAGGAGGAAGTGGGAGGGGAGCTGTTGCATTGTGGTAAATTGTGGTCAGTGTCATGAGACAGTATATGTGAACTGCTGTATGGAAAGTGAATTTGCTCTGTAAATTTTCACCCAAATCACAATAAAAAAAAAATGATAAAAGACTGTAGAGAAGTAACTGTCATCTAATTAGAAAATGTTGTTACTGGGGATCAGTGTACCACAGTCACTGTAATACTTTTGCTTTATCTAGGAGACCAGATGTAATTCCTAAATTCGTGGATTTGCAGAACTCTTAAAGACTTACCAGCTAGGGCAACTCTAGATTTACTCACTGTCTGTTTTACATTATGCACAGTGGCCTATAAAACTTAACCTAGATCCAAGTTTTTCAGAATACTTCTCTAATTTCTTTTTCAAGGGAAGATGTCATAATCTTCCCTTCTTTGCTTTCTGTTTTAATCCTGGGACTGGAATCTGAAAAAAAGAAGTAACAGTGTGTCTTCTTTGTACATTTTGATGTGTTTGGTTGTAGGACATGTTAAGAAACAAGTGACCTGGGTGTTATATCCCTATATTTCCAAAATTTTAAGTCTGTACAATTTAATTTACAGCATTTATGACTTTTATTTTTCGTTTTTCTACATCCCCAGCAAACTGTGAACAATGCTTTGACATTGTTTATATTTGTGGTTGGTAACTGGCGTTTTTTTTTTTTTTTTTTTTTTTCATTTTTGTAGTTGTGCCTTCTTCAGCCTCTCCTCAAAGGAGTGTGGATCAGAGAAGTACACCTGCTCCGTCTGCTCCTGTAGGCTTAGCAACAGTCATCAATGGAGAATCCAACAGTCTCACGTCATCCATTCCTTATCCTACTGCTTCTCTCATTTCTCACAATGAAAGTGAAAATGAAGGACATCTAAATCCAACTGAAAAACTCCAGTAAAACATTTTTTACACATTTACAAACATTGTTTACATAGATTAGAATGAAATAATGGGAATAGATTGTTTATTTTTCTTTGATTATATTGAAAATTCTGGAAAAATTGAATTTCTTTATTATGATAAACATTTTTATCATAATCATTGTCCAAAAGAAATTTGACATTGTAATGTAGGTAATTTCTGTGAGCTAATATTATTTTATTCTGATTTTTTAAATAAAGAATCAATTTGCTGTGACTATATTTTAAATATTTCTATATTTAATTAGGTTCTAGAATCAGACAGCCTTGAAATTATAGTATGGCTTTGTGACCTTGGGCAAGTATGACTTACCCTCACTTAGCCTCTGCTTCCTCATCTGCAAAATAGGGATAAAAATATACTTTTATTCGTGAAGATATTTCAAGAATTTAAAAAATGCTTAGCATATTTCCTGGCAAATAGTAAAAATTCAATGAATCTAAATTTTGATTTTCAATAAACATTTTATAAAACTCTTTATGTTGTAGACAAGATCAGGAAGCTTCTATAAGTGCTCTATAATGTCCTTTATACTGGATTTACCTGAGTATTTACATTGGATATTTGGGACATTGCACTTTTTAAGAGACTTAGGAATATTTTTGACATTGAGTTTTATTCTTTTTAGAAATTATATCTCACAGTGAATAATAATGAGGCCTTGTTTCACAGTGGTTAAAGTGCTTGATGGTCAACTGAAAGGCCGGCAGTTTGAACCCACCAGCTGCTCTGCAGGAGAAAGATGAAACAGTTTGTTTCCATAAAGACTGCAGCCTTGGAAACTGTATTGTTTTTTTTTATGTGCCGTAGAGTCAGACTCGACTCATAGCAACCCCTCCTTGGGTTTCCGAGGCAGTATCACTACAGAAGTAGACTGCCCAACCTTTCTTCCGAGGAGTGGCTGGTGGGTTTGAACCACCAGCCTTCTGGTTAGCAGTCAAGTGCCTTAGGCACTACGCTACCAGAGCTCCTGGAAGCCCTATAGAAAAACACAAACCAAATTTACTGCTATCAACTCGGTTCTGACTCATAGTGACCCCCATTGGGTTTCCAACACAGTAACTCTTTTAGGGAAGTAGATTGCCCCACCTTCTTTCTGCAGGGCAACTGATGTGTTTGAGCTGCCAGCCTTGTGGGTAGCATTCAAATGCCTTAAGACAGCTCTATTCTGCCCTGTAGGGTCACTTGGAGTCATGGCAGCAGATTTGGTTGGTTGGTTGGTTGGTTTTAGTTTTGAAAGTGAATAATTAAACTAAGATTTGTTTCTTATGCTTTTATCTCTAGTACAACATACAAAAATAAAGTAATGAGATTTTGAATAAGCCGTATTGAAATTAAACTCATTATAGTCACATTCCTGGCTATTTGATCAAGTCCAAAGTTTCTTTGTGCTTCTGATGTGTAATGTGAAAATAATATATTATATTGCTAAAATGGATAGAAATATTATATATAAATATTTTTTGTTTGTTTATCAGGAAGTTAAATGAAGTTCGAAAGAGATTGAATGAACTGAGAGAATTAGTTCACTATTACGAACAAACATCAGACATGATGACAGATGCTGTAAATGAAAACACAAAAGATGAAGAAACTGAAGAATCAGAATATGATTCTGAGCATGAAAATTCTGAACCTGTTACTAACATTCGGTTAGAACTGTTTTTTAAATTTGTTTTTCTATCATTCATCCTAATCTAATACTTTTTATGTGGAAAAAAAACCTCAACACTGCTCGCTGTTTGCTTCTTTTTTAAGGTTTGGCCAGTAGTATATTATTTTGATCAGTGTAATCGTCCCTGCAAAAAAGGAGGTCTTAATATTAAGATATATTTGCTGAACAAATAGGGGAATATTGAATGGAATAGTTCAGTAAAATTGCCATTTGATAAAAATACACGTAAATCATCAAAAATAAAGTAACACCATTTTCCTGCTTCTTTATCATTAGGTGTCATTTTCATTTTTAAGATATTTTTTAAATATTTTCCAAATAGTATATATGTAGAAGTTAATGAAAATTACAACTGATTTTGGTATTAATAGTTGATTATTTGAATTTAAATAGGGAAATAGTCAATAATGTTCTTAGTTTGGGATTGTTAGCAGTTTTTGTTTTTAAACCTTAAATGCTTCAGTATGTTTTCTTTCCTTTTAGAAATCCACAAGCAGCTGCCCCCTGGAATGAAGTAAATAGTAATACTAATGCACAGTGTATTTCTAATAATAGAGACGGGAGATCAGTTAATTCTAATTGTGAAATTAACAACAGATCTGCTGCCAACATAAGAGCTCTAAACATGCCTTCTTCTTTAGGTATGATTGACTATCATTATAGGTAATTGTGCCACATTGCTCTTGGGAAGTAGATTTCTTTTTCATTAGTACTTTTAAATTTGTTCAAAAATTATTGATTTCAATACTACATGCATTCCACAGACTGTCGATATAATAGAGAGGAAGAACATGGGATTCATGCCACACAAGGTGAAGATGAGGAGGAAGAGGAGGAAGATGCAGAAGAGGAGGAAGTCAGTGGAGCTTCATTATCTAGTCATAGGAGCAGTCTGGTTGATGAGGCTCCAGAAGATGCTGAATTTGAACAGAAGATCAATAGACTTATGGCTGCAAAACAGAAACTTAGACAGTTACAAGATCTTGTTGCTATGGTACAGG